CTAGAAATTCTCAAAAATGAGTATCTTGCTGTTGGTTTCATCTGATCTTTCTGAAAAGGTATTAGATGAATACATTGTAGATAACCCATGTGCTTACCATCTCTGCTGTTGCGGTTCCAGTGGACCGGCGTTTACCAAAAATCGACTATCATTTTATTTTTGCAATGGACCTTTCGAATCAAGATCTGCTAGGTGGAGGGCAAATGGCTGAAGGCATAGCGTATATCACAAAGGCTGTTCAGTCAGGCGGAAATGTTCTGGTCCACTGGTAAGTTTCGCAGTGTATTTTGTAGATTGTGAAAGTATTACCTGTTGCTGATAGAGATTACAACAGAGCTCCTTAATAATTTATTTGTATTCTTTCTAGTGAGGTTGGCGTATCAAGAAGCGCAACCATAGTTGCTGCTTATGTTATGCAGAAATTGAAATACTCAGCTGAAAAGGCCGTCGAATTCATTAAGATTGCAAGACCGTTGGTGTGGTGAGTGTTACCAGTGTTTTGACCTGGCACTTTGTTTGTTGCAAAGAGCTTTTTTTTCAGCCCCAACCAAGGTTTCTTCACTCAATTACAAATCTTTGAATCTCTTCATTACCAAATCGACGAAGCCTCTTTAGCTGGAAGTCGTATGTATAAGAATTGGTGTATTTCGTCTGGTAACGCTCCGAATAACGGTGAGTGTTGATGCTGAATTCTTTTTCAAAAACGGTTTTCTCCGTGCTTTCTGCTCATCTTCGGAACTGTTTTTAAGCTGTCCCGTCTGGTGAATTGTTAGTGTCTTTACCAAATTGAACTGTTTTAAGGTTCCGAGCCACAAGCAAACACATTTATCAAAGATCTTAAGGCAGACGATTGTTCAAAGGAACGGGGAAACAAGTACAGGTAAATAATGTCTTGCTTTTTCATGAACAGACCTAAGCATGATTTAAGCGGCTTTGGTCAGGAATGTTTTCTAAAACTGAAGCAGTGGACATAGCCTTCTTCTAAAATTTTGTACTATTTTTTCAAGGAACTAATATTCCAAATTGGTTTTTCACAACATCCCTTCCGCAAATTTTGGTTTGCCGTTCAATGTAGTAGAAGTAGGTGTGAGCGTATAGAGCAAAATATTTTTCAGGAGATGCTTGTACCTCCTCCAAATAACCGACTGGCAAGAAGCGCCAATTCTATTTTCGTCTGTAATATATTAATAAATATATTAATCGTTTCGGCATATCAGCCATCCTGAAGTATAAAGCGTAGAATAGAAGTCTGAAAGTAATTTGATTAGGTGACCAGTCATCTCAATAGTCGGCAAGATCTTCGACATCAATTTAGTCATCCATAATCCTAGGTGACTAGAGGAACTGAACCTCCTTGATTCTCTTGATTAGTACAATCGGGCCACGGATCTAAAAATGAACCTGTAGAGGGATGCGTGTAGATTACACGCAAACCCCACACATCTAAAGTTTGCCTTTGACTGTAGGCTTTAAGCTCAAATAGTCGATTCTAAAATCACTCACGGGGCGGATTCTGGCAATCAGAGGGGGGGGGGGGGGGGGGGGGGGGGGGGGGT